ATCCATTTGTTCTTGTGTCCACATTGGTACTGAGTTTAAATAATTCCTCTCCCTCCTTGATATTTATCCCTCTGATGTATTTATAAAGAGCGATCAGATCTCCCCTCAGCCTTCTCTCGGTTCGGCTAACCAAGCCGAGCTCTTGGAGTCTCCTTTCATAAGACAGGTTTTCCATTCCTCGGATCATCCTAGTAGCCCTCTCTGTACCTGTTCCAGTTTGAATCCATCCTTCTTAAACATGGGAGACCAGATGGCTTGCTATGCTCGACGATGCCCTCACCACTGCCGTCCCTGGCTCTGTCCCACTGCCCCCTCTGCCCACAGGGAGCTGGCACATGGGCCCTGCCTTAGCCCACCCCTGAACTGGGGGCGAATGACCTACAGGGGATTTCCCGTCCAGCGAGCATGCCAGGCTGAGCAGGAAGGGAATGGGGTCTAGTGGGTAGAGCAGGGTCCTGGAGGCCGGGAATCCTGAGTTCTCCGGGGAGTCCCTTGGCCACAAGGCTCCGGGGGATGTCCCGGCCTCTGCCCCATGCCGCTGGTGAGGGCAGCAGGGATTCTCCCCACACGCTCTGCCCCCAGGGGGGAAGCACAGGGCTAGCTAGCAGGGAGCTGACAGGGCTTCTCTGGGCAGGCTGCACCGTGATGATAACCAGGTTACAACACACACCTGCGGAGTCTCTGGGTGTCCTGTGCGCTAACCTGGCCCTGCACCAGCGTCAATGGGTGTGAATGGCACACGAAGGGGATAGGTCCCACCCCCCCCCACACACACATCTGCAGCTCTTGAGGTTGGGAGGCGGGGGTGGGCAGGGGACTTGAAGTCAGGACTCCTGGGTTCTATTCCCAGCTCTGGGAGGGGAGGGGTCTCTAATGGTTAGAACACAGGGTAGGGACAGGGGACACTAGAATTTGGGGGACCAGGGTTCTATTCCTGGCTCTGCCACTCACTTTCTGGGTGAGCTTGGCCCCCTTCCCGCACTCTGTGCCTCAGTTTCTCCATCTGTGCAATGGGCTGGAGATCCTGGCTCAGCCCGGTGGGCTGTGAGGCTCAGTTCACTAGGGCTACATCTACACCACCCGCCTGAATCGGCGGTAGAAATCGATCTCTCGGGGCTCGAATTATCGCGTCTCGTCGGGACGTGACATTCGATCCCTGAATCGGCGCTTGTACTCCACCACGGCAGGTAGGAGTAAATGCCGTCGACATGGAGCCACGGAGGTCCATTTGCCACCGTCCTCACAGTGGGGTAAGTCGGCTCCGATACGTCGAATTCAGCGACGCTAATCATGTAGCTGAATTTGCGTATCTGAAATCGCCCCCCCCCCATAGTGAGGACGTAGCCTAGTAGTTAGGAGGTGCTGTGAGCCTGGCTCTGACAGCGCTAGGGCAGGGCCCGGGGTCTGCTGTGTATTGCCCCCCACGCCTGGGCCTGGCTCTGGCTCTCCTGGTGGGGTGGGGGCTGCCTCAGCCTCGCTCAGGGATTTGGGAGCAGTCTGGGCAAAGATCTGTGGGGCTGAAGGCCCTGCCTGCAGCTCAAACACCCACAGAGCACCAGGAGCGGGGCCAGCTGAGCGCACGGCTCGCGAGCAGCCCCAAAGCTCAGACACTGAGGAAGGAGAGGCCGCTGCGCTGGGCCCAAGCCTGGCTGAACAAACACCCCTCGCACGGGGTCCCACCGCCCTGGAAACGGGCTCAGGGACGAGGCAGTTCCTGGGCAGGGCTCCGGGAGAACGTCCTGCCCACAGGCCCACGAGAGCGGCTTCGGGAGCCCCAGCCAGCGCGGCGCCGTGGGGCCTTGGCTGCAGGAGCCTGACAAGCCGGGACCTGGCGTCGCTGGAGTACACCCCAAGCACAGCTGGGACCTGCACTGGGGAGCTCTGTCCATGCATTAATGTGCACAACCCCAACCCAGCGCCTGCCCCCAGTAGCTGCAGGAGCCACCACGCCTGTGGCCTAAGCCAGAGCAGGAGCCTCGTCCCTATTGGGTTCGCAGCGTGCATGGTGTCCCGGAGCCACAGGATCGGGGCCACGGCCCCAGCGTGGGGACAGTCTCTGGGAGGCCCCGTCAGGGGCCAGACCCCCGAGGGGTCTCACACCTCCTCCAGGGGAAGCCACGCGGCTTCATCGCCTCCTGGGTCTGGACCCCTGGGCCTGCAGCCCCCCTGCTGCCCCCAGGCAGCGAGTCCCCCTGAGACAGACCCCGACGGAGACTTGTACCACTTGGGGGGCAGAGCCCCCTCCGCCAGCATCTGCAGGGATACGCAGCCAGCGCGGGCCGACAGGCGGGTTATTAGTCACCTGGGCCAGCCCAGGGATCCTGGAGACACGAAAGTTACAGCCTCTGGTCCATTCGGGTTAGCCCAGAGCCCAGCCAGCGGTGTGTCCCCCTGTTCAAGTTCCCAGGCCAGTCCCCCTGGCCCCTCCTCGGCCTCCTGTTGAGGGTGGCCATCCACGGTCATTAGCTGCTAGGTATCAAATGCCTGGATTTGCCACCGTCTGCATGGACTCTCCATTGACAGGGGGAGTGTGCAGGCGTGGGGGATCAGGTCCCGGGGTGTCTGGGCAGAGGGTGCAGGGGGACTCGGGGGGACCCCAGGAACGGGGCAGGGGGGGATCAGGTCCCGGGGTGTCTGGGCAGAGGGTGCAGCGGGACTCGGGGGGACCCCGGGAACGGGGCACGGGGGCATCAGGTCCCAGGGTGTCCGGGCAGAGGGTGCAGGGGGACCCCGGGGGGGTCCATACGCCAGGCCGTATCCGTCCGGGCACTAGGACCCGGCGGGAGCCAGCAGGGCCGCAGCTTGTACGCAGCTGGGCTGGGAGTCAGAGCCGGAGTCGGAGTGGGGCAGGTGAGAGGGGCCGGGCAGAGCCCCCGTGTGGGGCCGGAGGCGGGGGGTTGGGGAGGCGAGGGGGCTGGTTCCCCCATGTAGGGCTGGTGGGGGGGGTTGAGGAGGCCGGGGGAGGTGAGGGGGCTGGTCCCCCCATGTGGGGCTGGTGGGGGGAGGTTGAGGAGGCCGAGGGAGGCGAGGGGGCCGGTCCCCCCATGTGGGGCTGGTGGGGGGAGGTTGAGGAGGCCGAGGGAGGCGA